AAGATTGGCCAATCAGGTTTTGTGAAAATGCGAAGATTTACTTGTAAAAGCGTATCTTTGTTGACCTGCATTCCATTCCGTTGAGTTATTTCGAAACAATAACCTAAATTACAATTAAAGTGCATCTTTTCGTTTTGTAAATCTGAAAGATGCTCGATCAAAGTTCGCATTTTGGCGACAATGTCTTCAGTTGTGTTTTATAGAGGCGCATGTTATTCGTGTGAATTTAATCTAGAATTGGACAAGACTATTTGTAGCACCAGTGGCATCATTTGCTCTGAGGTTAATTAAAATCATGCAATTGTTGACTTGGTCAAAATCGATACGCGTTACAGCCATCCGAAAATAACCCTGCTAGTCAACTTTTCATATCTGAATTGTGTAAGTAATCTGCTTTGTCTTTTTGTGTACAATGCTCCGAGTAAAAACTTGTCTCATCTCCTAATGCGTTATATCGTAACGTTTTTCGGCAAATACGACATCATTTGTTTTTAACTGACAGTTGTTTAAATGCGCCGTTAGTCAGCCTTAACTTAAAAATGCGTTTGCTAAAATCCGGCTATTTTTGCTGGCACAGTATTCAAAGTTGGAAATTGAGAGAGATTGGCTTTGTTTTATGACCTCCAATTTTACCCTAGAGGCAATGAAACTTGTGTTAATAAAAATAAATTAGCCTATGCAGCGAGAGGTGTATTCTCGTAATGAAGCTACTTGTCAGTTGTGTGCGTCATGTTTGCCAACGCATCCGCCCAAATGACGTAATGAGCTGGCCACTAGGACAGACGCTGTCATGGTAACGGCCTACCCGTGGGTTGTTTAAATAAGCAGAGTGAGTCAGGCGCATTGCTCAAGTGTCCTTTTGGAATCCAACAGCTGACAAGTCGTTTGACTCCACTTGTGTTAGTAATCCGGAAGTTGACCTGGCAGATCCACGTCACGAGATAAAATTCCCTAAATCAGTGTGAATGTTGTCGGTAAAGCACAGTCATCTGTATCTGGTTGCATCTGCCGCATTTTATCCCTCAATTTATCTTCTCACGGGGTGTGCAAAATGTACGTAATTTTTTTCAACCACTACAATTTATCGGCCGAAAGTAGTGTGATGTAAAATCTTAACCACACCACACCCCTCTTTCAGTTCGCATTTTCCTTGAAATATATTTCAGACCTCAACTTTTTTAAATTAATTCTGTGTTCTCGTATTTAATTCTGATCTCATTATTCCGACTGGATTCTTGTGTCTTAGTGTGCGGATGTGTGAACGAATAACAGGCGTCTGATAACAGCAACCAATAAAGAGGGGATGAGTCATTGTCGACGTCAGATCTGTGATCAGGGTTCACTCAGGCGCGATCGCTGTTAATCCGCTACAAATATTCCCCCATCCCCCGATAGGGTTAGCTGTGAAACAATAGACCCTCGGAAAATGCTGAACTAAATCAGCAAAACTGATAACGGGTCTCATGGATAGGTCGAATCGCTTCCTGTGTTGACTTGGTTGGTGGGAACGGGAAGTGGTGCTCTGTCGTTGTTGAAGCTGTCTAGATGATAATCCATCCAACCTTAGTGGGTGGTTGGCTACCTGGTAAAGGCATTTTTGTAAGCATATCCAAATGTGTGCTAGAGCTTTGGGACGAGGCGACTGTATTCACGTGTGGCAGGAGTGATTTAGTCCATATTTGGCGTAGAACGAATTCATCTAGCTTGCTATCCCCATCAATGAGGTGCATACTCCAAAGGAGTTGAAAAAGAGACTTGTCAACTAGTTCCATACCAGAAAGTAGGTGTCGATAACCGGCCTTGTTTAAGCTGATCAGTCGTGTGAGAGCAGCATCATTCGGTTCTTGATACGGGTTTGCAGAAGGCATTGTTTTAAGCAAGTCGATAACTTCTGTAGCAACATCTATCAGTAGCCATGCAACAACATGTAAATATTTAGAGAACTGGGAGGCAGTCATCTGATTGCGTAAATGAGTCTCAGGTCACATAAACCAAACTTGGCTGAACGGAAAGTGCAGGAGAAGATTGACTGAAATGCAGTTTTCCGAACAGAGGTGTACAGCAATAGCGTCATTCATTGTTAACAGTGGAGAGATTGCTGAAAATTTTGACGGATATCACTAATCAACAGAGTCAAAAATAAGGTGATTTCACTACGCCGGGGTCACCAAATGTAGCAGCGTGTGTTTTAGCATTACCTCACAAATCTCTAGTTAACTGCCCGTTTCAACCCGTCAAGAGTGGAAAAAGAGGCAACAGAGAACACGACCGTTTATTGCTGTCACACTAGGCAAATGTGAACGGACGACAGGCGTCTGATAACAATAAGCAATGAAAAGAGGATGAGTCAGTGTCTCCGTCAGGTCAGTGGACAGGA